AAAGGCGCTCTTGGTTGGGGGAATTTCAGCTCCTGGAGGTTCCTGATCGCTTTAAGTTCAGGCTCCGGGCTAAGACTCAAGGCTTAGCGGGATCAGGGCTTGGGTGTAGGGATTCGGGTTTAGGGGTTAAGGGTTTATAGTAAAATGGCTACGGCTCAAGCTTTGGCTCGAGCCGTTCTGGATGCGAGGCTCATACTTGGGCATAACTCTGTACAGTTTGTGCAAGTCAATCGTGGCGACATGGCATCTCCTCAGCAGAAGCTCATTTCTTGCTTGGGGTATGGACTGCGAAGTGCTCGGAAATTGGGTCAATCAGCAGCTTGCCATCATCTACGCTTGGCTTTGGTACTGGTGATGGATCCTTCTCAATACACTACTGGACAGAGTCTCCGTCATCACACAACGATCGAATTGAACGAGGCAATTCCCGCTGCAAGAACTCAGACTGCCACTGTCTGCTGCCAAACAGAGGATGAAGTCTTGACGCGACCTGAATTCGAGAGCATTATGGCGAGTCTGGAAAGGACTTACAAAACAGCTATGCAGAAGATCGAAGAACAAATGGCCCAACAAATAACCATAATGGACTCGTTGCGGGAACAAGCTCAAACTCGACAACAGGATGAGCATGTCAGCATGGCACTTTCCAGCAGAACTGGTATACCGAGGCTTCCAGGTCATCATGTTGAGCTGGACCCAATGACCGACATCAGCCACCAACCCGTTCATGCACTTTGCGCCGATTCTGCTACTGCCAGGTTGGAAACACTACGAGAAAGTCACGAGAGGCAGAGACAGACACTCAAGGAGCGAAGACGAGCGGCCCGATTGAACCACCTTGGAAGACCACCGACTGATCTGCCAGGTTAATTAATTTCAGTTTCAAGAGTTATCCTATCTGTAGTTTTACGAGTGGCACAGATGTTGCCCTTCGACCAGGCCTGACGCTTCGAGTGCCTGTGAGAGAGAGAGAGAGAGAGAGGGTTTATATAAGGTCTTGGGGCTAGCCAGATCCTTGTATCGCGGCCTTTCGTGTTCACCCTGGCTAGCCCCAAGACCAGTGGCAAAAAAAGGGATTATATAAGGAATAAAGTATATAAAGTCTCATCCTGAGCCTTGCAGGACACTTGGTCCAGCAAAGGGATTCGACTCGAGGCTTCGGGAGTTAGGTTTTTTTGTTGAGCCAATCGGACCACGTCCCTAAACCTTCAGCTGCCCAGACCCCCAAGGCATCAGTGCTAAACCGCCTAAAAAGAGGCTTATATGCATCACTACCCGAGAGAGCCGTCGCTTGGCGAGGTGGGTGGCATCAGCTTCGGCATTTTGCAGACCCCTCGGTGGACGGGGAATGTCAAGAATTGTTGAGAGTTTATTCAACGAGATCAGGAAAGTGGATCGTCGTTCATACTTTAGAAGCCGAGATACCAAAACGGAAAGGTTATTGCCTTACTTTCACTTTAGGATTTGAGAAGACTGGTTTCAGAACAGGATATAACCCACTACATGGCTATCAGGGCTGGTAGGCCTGCCTTAAGCCTAAACCCCAAACCCAGTGTGAGTCGGAAGCGTGAACCGGCACTTTGTCACGAACAGCGGCAACAGCTTTAAGCTGAGGCCTTCGTTCAGAAGTTGCTGTGCAACCGGACTTGAAACAGAAACAGCTAAAGTAAAGCCCCATCTACCCCCTTGTTACGCCAGCATATGTCGAACAAAAACAGTGGTATATACACCACGACTAGCCCTTAAATGCCCTCATCACCCTACATGAGCGCCTGCAAGTCTTGCTGGATCCCAAGGCCCACAGCAGAGCATTGCAGGGAGCTTGCGGGGATCTCGATAGATCTGTGTTGGTTCAGGATTTCAGGTTTAGGGCCTTGGGGTTTAGGTTAGGGTTTAGGGAGGAGGGGGGGGTGGGCTCAGGGTTTCAGGTTTAGGCTTAAGGGCTTGCAGGCTTCAAATGTGGGCTTCGAGGATAATCTAGTGTTCAAGAATATGGCGTTGAGGGGCTATTCCGTGTTCAACCTTTGCTCTGGGGTTTCAGGGTTTCGGGTTCGATAAGGTGATCGAAAGTTTCCCGGTGTTGAGAAGTTTTCCTTGGCAGGTCTTGAGGGTTAAGGGTTTCCCCAGGAGGGTTGGCGGTTAGCAAGACAAGAGCATCGAGGGTTTCGGGAAGAGTTCAGAGGCTTCTGTTTGTGATAACTGTATCGATCTGCTCGTATCCCCGAACTTCGCGTCAGCATTCCGGTTCTAGACTCCACCCCTGAAGCCCCCGAGGCCGCATCAGCGAACCCAACCACACGTCCAAAGTAGTGGATATGAACCAGAGTCCGTGGGGGCTTTGCAAGCTGTTGCTAGTTTAAACGATTGTTGTGTTCAATGGGGCCGTCGGGTGCTTTTCAGGGCCCAAGGCACTTGAGAATTACAGTGACCATGGAGTTTGCGGCTTAAGCACAGGGTTCAAGGAATTCTTTTGGGCCTTGTCCAGGACAATGAAAAGAAAATTCGCTGGTGAGGCAGCATGATGGCAAAGCCCTCCCACCTCAGACCCTCAACCTCAGCTGCAACCACGACATGAGTCAAGCCCAAGGAGGCGGCCATTCCTGTTTCAGACTACGAAGGTGCACTGGTAAACGGATAGACACGCAGCCTAATGGGATGAGGTACTGCCCTGTGCAGCTTTTGGGGTTCAGGGTTTTGGGTTTCAGTTTTGGGGATCTTGGGGACTAGGGCTTTGGATTTTGGCGCGGGGGGGGTTGCGAAGTCGTCTAGTACAGTGTAAGTCGTTTGGGAACACCCCTCCGTTTCAAACTTCTAGGACACATGTAACGTTCGGGCGGTAGGATCCTATGATCTACGTGGGACCCTAAGTGTTGAAAAGTTGGGAACTGTAGAGATTCAGGGGCTTTCGGTACGGTATGAGCTCAAAGCATACAACGCCGTCATGAAAGGTTGTAGTCGAATTTGAGGGTAAGGTCATGCAGTCCGGACTGCGGGCCTCAAGCATGCGTCCCATATCAACACCTAGCCCTCAAACACCCGACCAAACCTAAACAATAGGTACTAGTAAGACCAATTAAAATCCGAACCCGCACCCCTGAAAGCCAAAACCAGGCTTCTCTCAGCGGCCCAAATGCCAGATCCGGAGCTGGAGTCGCCCCAAGCACGCCCACAGGAAGTCGACCCAAGCCCAGTTCCGAGAATTAAATACGAAGATATGCAAAGCCCAAAGCTACTAAGCCTGCATACCAAGTCCCGAAAAAGAACGCTGCTCACGAGTTTTCGAGGTCAGGCATGCATAACAAGTTTTGGGACAGCCGAACTAGGTTCTCGGGCATGACCCTCAAGGGCCGGATGGTGACTCAGCAACCCGAAACCTTAAATCCTAGACCGTGAAGCCCAAAGTTTAACCCCAAACCCTAAACCGTAAAGAACCATATGCCTCGCCTGCATTGTCCGAGTGTGAGCGCCGAAACCACAAGGCAGGGAGAAACTCGCTTTGGGTAAGACGGGGTTCAAGTCTTGAGCTTAGAGGCAGAAGCCTCATCCTGCTACAACCGAAAGCCTGCAGTGCTCTCGACATCAACCGGGCGGTCGTCAAAATTATGGTCCCTGTTTGGGTCCTTATTATAATACGGCACCTAGTACATAGGGTACCCAATAAGGGACCACAATGTTGACAACTAGCCCTAAACCCTGAACCCGACCCTAGTGTAGTTGACTCCGAACCACATGCCTCGCCTGGATAATTTGAGTGTGAGCGCCGAAACCCGACCCTTGTCTTTGCCAGGCGAAGTCACCGTCGCCTCCACGTTGCTAAGTGAGGACATGCCTATGCGTCGTCAAGACTCCGAAACCTGGAACTCAAAGCCTGTGTCCTATGTACGGTTATGGGGGGCAATACTTCCTTAAGTCATGATGGTAATTCCTAGTATGGCAATCCTACATTCTACCATATCGGTACATACGACCCTTTGGGTTAGGGTTTAGGGTGAACCCTGAAGACCCGACAAGGTTCAGGGTTCAAGCTGGCGCTTATTTTGGGTTGGTTGTGTTTTGAATTTTAGCAGCACTTGCTCTTCGAGGCCGATACGACCGTTGTGAGATGGTGGCTCTTCCGGGAGTTAAGGGTTTGATATTGAGTTCGCTTGCAACATCTTGCAACTAGCCGGGGACAGCAACCCAAACAGTGTGACAACGCTCAAACCCGAAAAGCGCGAAACTCTACGCTCGGAAGCCCGGGACCATGAAGCCTTCGATCATGATTTAGGGTTTAGGGTTTAGCAAGACTAGTTGTATCTAGTTTATATTGGGAAGGAGAACGAAGGATTCGCTCAGAGGCAACCCCCTAACTAAACCCTATAAACCTCTAACCGTCCCCACACTCTCACAGGACGCAGGTGGAGCGGGCGCCTGCTTCCCAGCATGCCCTGTGTGCATTTTGTGTTTTCCTGTCGCGGTGTGACAGCTCAGTGCATTGCCCTGCAGTCCTTCAAATACAGTAATTACAGAGAGTCCCATTCATGCTTCCTCCATGTGCCTTTTTTGCCTAGCACTTACTGAAAGCGATATCAAAGCTGCTTTCCGGACTTATTGAAAAATGTATCCAAGAAGGTCCTACGAAGCAGAACATTCAGGACCCTCGAAGCCAAGTTTTCGTAGCACACGCCCGATCAGATCAGCCTGTTCGTGGTGTGGGGTTAAGGGTGCCAAGCTCCTGAACAGAGTATAGATAAATGTTTCAGTCAAGTGTGAATGACTGTCATAGGACTTGAGACTGAGAATTCGGGTTTGAGGAGTCTGGGATAGTTGCAGAGGGGGGTCTTGATGCTAAGTTTTGGCCTGTTGTCTTGAAGTTTTAAGGGTTTCCAGCTAGGCTACTGTGTCCAAGTTTTGGTGTGCATATGTTTGCTTTCGGCGCCGGCCTTTGCCACAAAGTTGCCATGTAGGACCATCTACCGTCTCAGTTTATCCAATAAGTCCTGATCTCTACAGCGGAAGCCATGATCTCGGACCATCGAATGGGCCATTCAAGTATGTGCTCCACTCCCCGCTGTTACATTGTCAGACCAACGTGCCACCTTGCCTACCCTCAGACCATAAACCTCTAAGTCCTTAAACCAAAATCTCAGGGGTACTTTCAAATATTTCTTAGTTTTTCGTTATTAGAATCCCTCAGAAACAGCCAAAATTATATTTTTGCTAGGGTTCTAAGTTCAGTATAGAAATCTTATCAACTCCCAAAGTCTTCCGGGTTGCTCCTACCGGTGTTTGGTGAGGTTCTGACATTGCGAAGGCAGCTGACGGCATCAGGCCGAACCGGTTCCAGAGTAAGGGGGGTTGAGGGTTTCGGGGTTCAGAGTGTAGCCCTCAGTTTCCTTTCTTCAGGGTACCCGGCAGTCGCAATAGGCCTGGAAGTTAACAATACTCGAGCCCCACGCACTTGCTTGATGTAGCTAAGAGTACTCTACGAGAGGTAGATGAAGAGCAGCTTGAACGACGCACACGAACGTATTTGGCTCAAGACACAAAAGAAGCGTGATCATTACCGTGTCTTGAAATCATAGATTGCTCTGCAATTAACTGGTTAACAGCCTCAGCTTTGCTTGGTGTAGGTAGTGTAGGAGCCTACCGACGCCATAGCACATTCCATATTGCTCCCTTAGGGTAGAGCTTGAAATCGGTTCGCCGTAGGTCTAGCAAAGACCTGCCCACTTCCATACTACTTTCCATATCCTGCACTGTCAATCTCCTGGGGTTAGAGCCAGAACCCTACAGTTGAGATCCCAACCAGAGCGTACATCGCAGCCTGGTTTTGCACATTATCTGTGAGGTCCAAATCTGCTGCGTGATTCGCCTGCTTGCTCAGGCATCCGCGTGGTAACCTTCTTCGGGTTTCTCAAAGCCCTGCCTTAGCACCTCTCCCGTAGTCCCGTTCACGGACGAAGGAGGCCAGGCCTTGTGGTGCAACAGGCGATCCAGTAGAGAACAGAACACAACCGCAACGTGTCAGGAGTGCGATTGCATCCCAGCAACCCTCCTGTAAGAGTTCCGCTGAGATTGGAGGTTGATTGAGATTTCTGGTTTGGGTTAGCGTGGGTGTTTCCCGTGCTCGGCCTTTGAACCGCTTCCTCAGTCCCTCATCCCAGCTGTAGACTGCTTCGGCAGCACAGCACAACAGCCAAAGGCAAACAAAGAATCAATTCCAAATCCCTTCGGCTCTCAGTCTGCCAGCCAGGGGGTCTTCCTAGTTGACAGTTGTTCATCTGGGTTGTCAGTGGGTAATCAAGGAGATTATCTGGATTCAGCTTTCAGAGGCAAGGCATCGAGGCGTGCTTACGCAGCCAACGGGGGAAAATTGGGTAAGGCCTCGAGACGAGCCTTACGGCAGGGTCGACGAGCATCCACCGGGTTTTGGGGTAGGTGTTCATCGGCCATCAATTTTCCTTGAAGTCGTCACTGTGTGGTTGAGCGCGGAGGCGGCACTCCGGAGTCGCGGTTTGCATTGTACGCGGCCTTATTGCTTTGCGAAGAGAAGAGGGGAGGGGGCGGCTCTAGTGGAAGAGCCAGGCGCTCACTTCACCTCAAGATCATTGGAGGATATTCTTCACAGCTGCGCGAGCGTGCTGTGTTGAGTGAGGCGGATAGGGAGAACCTTGGGACTGCAGACAGCTACGTCTCTTGGTTGCAGCAGAACACGCCAGAGCGTGGCGCTGCTCTTCCGTCCTTTTTGGCTTCGGAGGTTCCACTTTTCCCCCGGCATACCGAATCGACGCCAATTACTCCGGGCCCTGACAATACATCCTCCAATACAATCTCCGGGGCTGTACCCGTGAGCGCTACTGCTGCGGAATCGCCATCTAGCGTTCTTGGTGTTGGCCCGCCTCGCGAGCCGCCGTTTCCACCTCCTGCACGTCGTGCCTTGGGTGGTGATTCGGATTCGGTAAGGGGTGTAACTTCCGGTAGAGGGATTCTTCCGGGTGGTAGGTTACGTCCTCCCACGCCCCCTAGACCCAAAGGCATTCCACCTTCGTCGGCACCCGGTCTGGAACCTTTTATCCCTATTGGGACAAGAGTGACGGTTACATCTGGTAATCCTCTTCTTCGACAGGCTAAGCGGGCCCGACTTGAGGAAGCGGCCGAACATCTTGAGAATCCACTTGAAATCGCCGCGGAGCCAGCCGAGGAGGCTGCCGAGGAGATTCTTGAATCAGCCGAGGAGGCTGCCGAGGAGACTCTTGATACAGGCGTGCCATCGACGAGCAGCGGGGCTGGACCCGAGTTGAGGTTTCGGCCTGTGGCGCGGCGAGTGACTTCGCTTAAGGTAGCGGAGGGATTGCTTCCGCCGGGTACGTCGGTGCTGCTGTCATTGGACATTCATTTGGTCGCTGACCGTAGTGAGGAGGGGACTGCTGCGTGCCTCGAGAGAATTTTGCGAGAGCACTCGGATTTGGCTGTCATCTTCTGCTCGTACGCGGTAAAGCAAAAGACCATTGATAAGGCGGTTCAGTGTATCCACCGAATTTGTGATCGGACGATTGTGCGGCGCCCTTTGACCTTTCCCATTTTCTTCACGTCTACCAAGACTGCGCCGGGCACAGGCAAAGGAGCACAATTGTCTACTTTGGCGGATATCTTTAGCCGGTCGCGCCCCGCTCCACTGACTTATCTGTATCACGTGGACGATCAAGATCCGATCTGTAAGAACGTGACATCCTACGGCCATCACGGTGTGAGGTGGGCAGAGGAGGACCCGCGTTCTCTGGATCAGATCGTGTGGGAGCTCTGCTGGCTTTAGTCGCCGACTGACAAAACAGAAAGGCAGAGGAAGACTGCAAACGCAGCTCCTCAGGGTTGGGTTCGAGTTGAGTCGTATCGTGAGGTTGAAGTGAAGTATTTTTACAGCTTTAGCCTCGGACAACACGTCAACTCCAAGTCAAGCCCTTGTGTCAACCATGCCATTAGCATCACAACTGGGATTCGAAGAATCCTCACTGGAAATTTCATCGTCAAGCACACCCCCTAGGGCTTCGGCACTTAGCGTGCGCCCGGAGGCAGCTAGACAGTCGGATTCATCAAGTTCGGGGCCAATTCGGAGGAACCGGGCTAGATCATTGTCGTATGGACCCGCATCGAGGTCTTCATCCCTGCAACCGGCACCAACCTTTGCAGCGAATGTTGGCCCTGCCAGTAGTCAAAGCCCAACCGGCCCGAACACGAGCCATCAGGAGTTGCACTTGCACCAACATGCCCATAGGCAGCAGGTCCTTCAGGTTGGAGTTGACCCGGTAACCCATGCAAACATGCAATCCGAAGCAACAACTGCCGTTATGAACGCGAGAGCTGAGACGGCAGCCGTGTTCGGTGAAGCTGAAGCAGTGATTATGTCTCTAAGATCAGAGAACCAACAGCTAGGTGCCCAGGCCGCCGCGATTCAAGGTGAGTCGTATGCCGCCATACAGGCGCTAAGGTCCGAAAACCAGCAGTTGGGTTCACGCGCTTCGGTGATTCAGGGTGAAGCTGAAACGGTGATCGGAAACCTCCGAACTGAGAACCAACAGCTAGGAGAGATGAATCGCGAGCTCAACCAGAGACTCGAAAAGCAAGCTAAGATGATCCTTGAGCAGCAAGAGTTATCTAAGGCTATGCATCAACAGCTAATCGCACTTCAGTCGCATGTGCAAGCTGCCGAACCTAAGAACCCAAGCATCCCTCCATCGGCCATCCCCGCGAGCTCTACCCAAAATGGCGCGGATCAGGCTGCGTCTGCATTCAACGCATTGCAGGCACTCGCGGGTGAGGTTGGGGGAACAATGCGAAGGATTGAACAGGCAATTGAGGTAGCCCTTAGTCCCAAAGCCAAAGCAAAGAAGCAGAAAGCTAAAGCCGAGGCTACAGCTAGGGCCATTGCACCATCAGTTGCGTCTCCGATTCCCGCTAAGGCTTCTGGTTCTAGTGGTTCGATTGCCCCGGGTCCGGTTGAGTTTGGATTGCCACCGTACCAATGCAGCCGTAAGAGCATCTTCACGGGTAGATTGCATTCCGCAACACCCGCTCCTCCACCTCCTCCACCGCAGAAGCTAAAGCCCCAAGTCTTCGACGTAGCAGATGAAGATGACTTTGATGAGCATGGTGGAGATGAGGGTGATGAGGACGGAGAAGACTTCGAGGATGATCCAATCGTCCCCGTTGCGGCTCACGAGCCTGAAGATGACAGAGATTACGAGTCTAGCATTTATAAGTACAAAGACCTGAAAGACATCAAGCTTCCCCAAATTCCGGGTTCTAGCGTTGAGTTCAGGGCTTACCGCAATTCGGTGCTAACACAGATTGCGTCAATCGATTGCAGCGGCAAAGCCGTCCTGTTGAAGTGGCTTCAGAAGAGCCTTGATCCATCAGGTAGCATTGCATTGACACGGTCGCTTCAGCAGGATTGTGAGGGTTTGCCTAGACTTGATGGGTGGATCTCCGCATGTATCAGTGATGCGAAACACCTAAAAGGTGAATGGGGATTGCAAGCGCAGTCGTACTTGGAAAGGTGTCATGCGTCTGGAACGATGCCATCGGGTCGTGCACTCTTGTCCATTCTTAGCAGAAGATACCGGATAGATAAAGTGCGCGGGCCATTGGTGACACTACAATCCTTGTTCGATTTAGAACCTGACTCATTTTCCTACCAATCGCTTGTAGCCTTCAAACAACGCGTCGAGTACGTGTTGAATGGATTACCGGAGCGGCAATGGCCAGACGCCGAAACAATGTTTTCCTGGATCTACTCACGGCTAGAGGGATGCAGGATGCTTTCACGCACCATTGATCGGGTCAAAGATGCCAAGCCGGGTTCCAAGCGTAGGACATTTGAGTACATTTGGAAAGGGCTCGAAGAGGTTCTTGCAGAAGTGCGCGAGGATCGTAACGAGCAAGCGCTCAAGGATTCGCTCAAAGAGGATTCCAAACAGAAGCCGAAACCAGATGCAAATGCGAAAGCAGCCGCGGCCAAGGCTACGCCCGCCGCTCCTGCTGCAAAGGCAAATGCAAAGGCTAAGGCCAAAGGCCAAGGCAATGACAAGCCCCCGAAGGTCCCGAGCAAAGCAACTCCAGGAGTCACCGACGCCAATCGTGGTGCCGGTGAGGGTGCCAACAGGGACAAAGGCAAAGGTAAAGGGAAAGGCGGGGGTAAGGATGGCAAGGCCAAACCTCAGAAACCTCCAGCTGCAAAGGATTCGTCAGCAGAACAATCCGGCCAAAGGCCAGCGTGCTTCTTCTACCCAAAGGGAACATGCACTAGGGGAAAGGATTGCCCTTTTGAGCATGTAGATGCACCAAAGAAAGCTGCTCCATCAAAGGCCGCCCCAAAGGTGCCTGCCGGAGTCGCCATGTTAGCAGCCGCGTCGACGGGCGCGAGTGCATGCAACATCCCTTCATCATTTGTTCGCGGTTTCAAAGCCACATGTCGCTTGATCACCGCTCCCTTTCGTGTGTTTGCCCGCTTCGCGGCAGCACTCTCTTTTGCATTGCCCGCAACCGTGCATCATTCGCATGATCGCATTGCCGCGACAGTCAGTAGACCTAACTGTTCAGGGGGGTCGTACTTCCTTGATTGGGTTGCTGATTCTGGGGCAGGGAGAAGCCTGCTAAGCCAATCCGCGCTTGCAGATCAGGGCATTTTGACTGATATGTTCAGCGATCACATCCGGTCAACCAAGCCGTTGCAGTTTGAAACCGGGAATGGTGTGACGAGCAGTGGCACCTTCCTTACTACAACGAGCGATGCCTTTGGATCAGTAGAATCCTATGTTCTGCAAAGCTGCCCGGTAGTGCGGTCTTTAGGCCAACTAGTAGAGTTGCAGCGAAAACCTTTCGTTTGGCTTCCTGGTAGCATGCCGTTCTTCGGTAGTGACGAAGATTGCATCCAGATCACTTGGGATTCGGATCGTGTCATTTATGCCCATAAGGTTGATGACTATGTTCCGGTATTTCGTGAGCAGATCAGGTTTGGTGGTGACGGTTTGCACAGAGCCTTAGCCGCTGGTGAGTCTGCTCCGGCAGCCCCAGCAGAGGTTCCTGCGCCCGCTGTCCCAGCAGAGGACCCTCCTCTCCCAGCTCCCGCAGCACCCCCTCCACCTGATCCAGGGGAAGGTTCCGGTGCCGACGATGAGGGTGATGAGGATGCACCAACCAAGGCTCAGCGGCTAATCACTGAAGCCCAGAGTCTACAGCATCGCTTAACGCATATGCCAAAGAACCCCTACTGTGATGTCTGCAGTCGGAGTCGAATGCTAAAGAAGCGAACGGCGAGGACGCGCTATGCAAAGTGTGATGATGAGTTAGATCCGGTTGAAGAGTTCGGTCAACGGATAGCGGCTGATTTCATCATCGTGCACAAAGACGCTAAAAGCACTGAAACCGTCGTCCTGACTGTAAGGGATGAGGCTACAGGGTACATAAGAGCATTCCCGCTAGTGTCTAGGCACGAAGACGGGGTGGTACGATCATTGTTATCCTTTCTCGGTAGGCGCGCTTCTGGACCTTGTGTATTGTTCAAGAGCGACAATGCGCGAGAGCTCCTCGCCGCATGTGCGACGTTGGGGTTTACTTCAGAACCAAGCCTTGAGCGTAGATGGCCTCACAACTCAGTTCTCGAACGGGAGATCCGTACCATCGAGGAGTGTACAAGGGCTCTCCACATTGCGGCCGGTTTTCAGTTGCATTCGGGTCTTTGGGTTCACACTGTTCGCTATGCGGCACACACCATTAACCTTTTCCACCCTGCGGTTGGGATTGAGGGTTGTCGGTATGCGAACGCGACTGGATCCGAGTTTGGTGGCATGAAATTACAACTTGGTCAACTAGTCTACTACAGACTTGACCCGGCAAACCGTGAGAAGTTTCAGGCATCAGCAGCGCCTGGTGTTTTCGCAGGTTGGCGGTTCGATAGCGGTCCATCATCATTCAGAGAAGTCTACTATGTCTTGGACTATGGTAAGCTAAAGAACCGTGAACCGGGGTACGAAAAGGCGATCTCCGTCCCTAGAGAAGAGATCCACGTTCCCCGCGGTAATCCCATCCTCCCGATGTTCACCGCTGCAGAAGCTGCTTTGTCTAGTTTCACGAAAGCCGAGTATGAAGCCATCGAATTTCTTGATGTGCCGTTCAGTACGGTAGCGCCGTCAACACCCGTTGCCAAGCGCCACGAGTATATTACTTTAGACAGACTTATGCGACTAGGTGCAACACCTGGTTGTAAGGCCTGCAAGTTCGATGGAACAGTACACACGCCAGTATGTAAGGCAAGATTTGATGGTTTGATTAAAGCCGAGAAGATTGCCGCGAGCAAGTCAGTCAGAGACGCTGCACCGCCTGATGTTGAGCGCCCTGATCTTTCGGCGGAGTCTGCACCCGCAGCCCCCGAGGGTGATGAGGATGCTCCAGAGCGCGCGAGCTCCTCTGCTGGCCCACGGGCTCCAGCTGGTGTTGTAGTTCAGTCTTCCGAAAGCAAAGTTCCAACAGGTGAGTTTGGTTTGAGTGCAAGGTTTCTCGCAAACGAGAGAGCGCGTAACAACACCAGAAGGGTGAAGAAACTTCCAGGGGAAAATGTTCTGATCGAGTATGGTTGTGAAGACGAGTCTAAGAAACGCTTGTGAACGTTGTAAGGTTCATTGTGTTAGTCTGTCCCAGTCAACGCTGGACTTGACTTCGCAGGATGACATGCAACAAGTTGTTTCCCAAGCAATCCCAGGTGTAGATGCTTGGTTCACCATACCATGCACACATATGTCTTCGCATCAAGCCGTACAT